CATCGGGATAGGTCCATGTGGCTTCTCCTTGGGGATGTCTTGTAGGAAGTCAATCTTGCAAGCTGAAGCAGGGAACTGCTAAGGCAGCTGCACTCCGGTGCAACCATCACAAAGCAAGAGACCGGAGAACTAGAAAGGCGAGACTCACCACCCATTTATCCCTCCGCCTTTCAATTAGCCCCACATGTGCTTATCGGCCAGGTTGGCACAATTAACTAACTCAATCATGTAATTCTCTTCCTTTGTTTTATTTATATGATGGAGTACATGGATAGTTTTTCTTATGTTGAACCATCCTTGCATACTTTGTTATACTTGCACTACTGTTAAAACTATATTTTGTTGTTGGATTCTATTGGCTAAGATTTTGTTGAGAATTTTTGTATCTATGTTCATAAGAGATATTGGTCTATAATTTTCACTCTGGTTATGTCTTCATCTGGTTTAGGGTTATGCTTGATTCATAAAATGAATTTGCTGTCCTTTTCTATATTCTGAATACTTTGAGTAGAATTCATGTAAACTCTTCTCTGAACGCCTGATAGAATTCCCCAGTGGGACTGTCTGATCCTGGACTCTGTTGTGGTTGGGAGTGTTTTAATGACCTGATCTATTTCTTCTTTTCTTGTGGGTATGTTGAGGTTTTTCTGTATCTGGTGGTGCTCATTTAAGAGATAGTGTGTGTCCAGGAATTTGTTTCTTCTGGGTTTTCAGATTTTTTGGAGTTCAGTCCTTCATAGTATTGTGTTTTTAGTTTGGTTTTTTTAAGTTGATTCTGGAGTGATGTCATCCATTTCATTTCTTATTTGTGATATTTACATATTCTCCTTTCACTTTTTATTAATTTTGAATTCAAACCTCAGAAACGATATAATTTCATATATGGATACAAGAGCACATATCTATAAAAGATCAAAACTGTCAAGTGTCCAATCCCCGACAAAGATCATTAGGAAAACCTACTAATCAAACAAGCTGATCCTATTAAACTGACTGCAGCAAGGATGAACCCTAACTTGATAGATAGTCATGACTCAAAAATCGCATGTTGGAGAACTAATAAAACTTTTGGACAAGGGCTCATTTAGTTTAATGTGAGTCTTCCAGAGCAGGAAACTATGAATAGAACTGATGAACACAGGGAGGTAAAGGGTCTTCATCCTTTTTTTTTTTTTTTGGGGGGGGGTAGGGGTAGTCTTAATCCTTTTTATTAAAAAACAGTTCAGTAGCACATGATCTGCATATCATATAATTCAATCATAGCAAGAAGAGTAGTGTAATCAATTTTAGAGCATTTTCTTCTTTCTTGTACTTTCGTTAGCTCCCCATTTTCCCCCAGCCTCCCTGTCATACCCCCAAGAAACCATTAATCCAATTACTGTCACTATAGATTTACCTGTTCTGGATTTCATGTACAGGAAAACATATTAACAATAATAACAAAATAGAGAAAAACCTCAATCAAAAGAAAGAAAATATTAAAAATTAGCTTTAAAATGGGTTAAAAGCAAGAGCAAATGATAAGGTGTTAAATTGTAACCTAACTACATCTGCCATAATCCACTTGTTCCATTGCCCTCTGCATGATAGCAAGGTTATTCACATCCCTGGTCTATGGTGAAGGGAATTCACCTGAGGCTTAATCTACCTGTTTTCCCCGTCACTCTTTTTTTTTTTAAATAAACAACTTTTAAATGGGTCAAAAAGGAGATCAAATAAGATATTACATTTTAACCTAACTATATCTACCATAATCATTTTTACAATGCTCTGACAATAAGGCCATTCACATCCCCCAACTATGGTCAGAGGGAATTCACCCGAGGCTTAATCTAGATGACTCGGCAAATAGATTTTGGGTTTCCACTGTCATT